TCAAAATCGGTCATGACATAATCAACACCTAAAAGTTTTCAAGAAATGTTTTACGAGAAAAACTTACCAACTTCTCGATAACACGAAGTCACTAAATGTTTTACGCGATCTCTCGGCAAACAATTCAAACATCCAAAACAAGACATCGGATCGCGAACACTACTCCATTTCACCCATTCGGAAAGTTGGATCAATCCACCTTGCCGAACGAGTGAAGTGGATCAGCAACACAATCCACTTCGTCCACCTCGCCCAACAGGCGAAGTGGACCGGTCCACCTCACCCAACTAGAAAAGTGGATCGATGACAAAGCCCAACGGGCGAAGTGGATCCTACCCGACTTCCACTTTGCCCGTTGGGTGAAGTGGATCAACGATGAACTCCACATCTCCCGTTCGGCGAGGTGGATCCATCCATCTCGTCTAACGGGCGAAGTGGATCAATTAATCAAAACCTGAGTCTGATTCGTTTTATTCCGAAAGATTCCTTTCCGATCCTCTATCGAACTGTCTCTTGTTTCGTCTCGATTGGAGTTACCGACAAAACTTGACGACAAAAATCGTAAGAATACGTTTTCGCTTGCGAGATCCGAAAAGATCGTATGAAACAAAAACGGTTCACTAAAAGCCTTAAGTTGTCTCCCTTATACGTGAAGTTTGAATTTCCTTAAGGATCGACATCGTTTCAGAAGCGTTCTTTCTAGAAATCGTAAAAACGCTTAAGTCCAAAAACGGCTCGAGAAAAGCCTAAATGAGACCAACGGACCACTTAAGATTTATTAGAAATCGAGCCCCATCTGAATGGATATGATTTTATAAAAATCATAGGATTTTGATATGCTTATGTTTATAACCGATCAAACCGAATAAACCAAAACCGATCAAAGTAAAAATATATAAATATATACATTATCTAACGATACATGATAACTGATTTATTATATGAGTCAATTTTATTGTTAAAAATTAATACCATATACTTTTATATTAAAGAATTTATAATTTGAAAAACACCTAAACACTAAAAAAATTATTCACCGCAATCGAATGTTCTTAACTTCTTATTCTTTTGAAATAGGCTTTTTCTTTAACTTTTTTTCTTCTTTTTGCCATTGAGTAATTGACAGACTGAAGATATGTCTTACTACTTTTCTTTCTTTTTCTTTAAATATTATCTAAATTGATTTGATTTGATTTTGTAGGCGTTAAGAAATTGGAAAATTAGATAATGCCTTACTAGTTTTCTTTTTCTTTTTTTTTCCTTTTTGGAATTAGTTATGTATTAGTTTATAATTTATGAAATAATTCCGTAAAAATACTAAAAATTAATATATCAAAAATTAATCAAGAATGAAACAAATCTAAATATTAAATAGGGACTGAATATATGATATATGCCGTATATATGTAGACAAAGATTAATTTTGAAACTGTTCATTAAATTTATTTTACATTGACTGAATTTATAATAAATAAAAACTTAAAATTAATTATTTAATGTAAAAATTATATGTTTAGATAACCTTGAAAAGTTGACAAAAAAAGATAACCTTAAAAATTCTATATATATTTAATCATTCTATATTTTTGTGGAACATGCCAAAAATATTTGTCTTTTAAAGCTTTGAGTAGTTTGGAATGTGCTATGTAAAGTACAAAAAAAACTCAAGATTGGTTCAGTCTAATCAAAATTAAGTGATACTCCCTCCGTTCTTAAAAGATCCATGTTCTGGAAAAATATTTTGTTTCAAAAAGATGTATATTCTATGTTTTCTATGAGAAAATTACAAGTTTCAAAAAAATTAATTGGTATTATTAGATTACTATTGGCTAAAAGTTGTTGAAAACTGAAAATTACTGAAAACGATAGTGATTTAATGTGTTTTCTTAATTTGTGTGAAAACACTAGAAAGTTTATCTTTTAAGAACATAGAGAGTACTAAATTTGTGGAAAATGTAACGGAGCCCTTTCTGATACAGTGGTAAGAACATCTAATGTTTACCTAGCCATTCTCTTATTAAGAAATTTTGAATTGTTTTATTCAATTTGCAAACAAAAGATATTTTAATTCCTCATAGAGACTTCTTATCAGTTTTCCTAGTGCAAAATCCAAGTAACCAATGCAGTCGAAGAAATCAACAAAGTCCGCAACAAATTTAGTGGTCCAATTGGAAAGGAGCGAATTAACTTCATGTGTGAAAGGAATTACGGGTATGCTTCCAATTTTTTCTAAGGCTCACTTAAGTGCAGGGTCGGCCCAAACCCACCAAAGGCCCTATTTCAATAAAAAAATGGGCCATTTTCCTTTGTAAATTTTTTTTTTTTTTTTTTTTTTTTTTTTTTTAGTTTT